TAACAAATAACAAACAATATAAAACTGAAACTAGAAATAACAGAATAGCAAAATAACCACAACTGTGACTAGATACATTCTACCCTACGAACAGAGTGGGACCACAGTTGTGGGGCCCACATCAATGTTCTCTACAGGACCCTATCATTGATCTACACATCAGCCACATGGGTTCAGCCCAACCTTAGTTACAAGGCCTGGCCGAATTCACTGCAGGACACAGTGAACCCCTGAGTCCATCACCATGGGCTCTTAATGGGCCCAACATTTACACTGAATGGTCCTTGGGTTTAGCCATCTTAGGCCCAAGGACTGTGGGCAGATGCAAGATTAGCCCATCAGGTATAACCCTCAATGGTCTTATCCCTTAATGATCAAACACTGTCCAATAAGAGAGGACCTCTCCCTCGGCTGCAAGGTACAGTGCTGCACTCTATACTCGCATGGATCCCGGGAATTAAAACCTTTTCAAACAATTTGAAAATATAATATATAAGTATATCTCTATATAAATATATTTTGCAAAACCAAATTTCAAACACATTTGAAATCCACTGCCGGCAGTTTAGGTTTCCATTAGAGAGAGTGCATTTCCCTGATCATTCACTTTGTCCGACAAAGGGCTGATTCTGTCACTATGATCACCCACTCAGATGAATTCTTGGACTATCCCAACATACCCAGGTTTTGACCCCCTCTAAGGATCTCACTGATTGGCACATCAAAGACAATCCAATCCGACACCCAATGCAATATCATAATCGAGTCTAGGGGTCAGGTGTAACATTCTAGTTTTGCCCATCTGTGTCCAAGGTCCAAGGCAACACTAGAATTTGGTCTAGTTCAGGGTTTCAAGTAAACCCACACTGCATGTACCTTAGGTCTCACCCTGACAGCTGAGACAAGCCACCCCAACCAACTTTGTGGCACATCAGTGTCAGCCTTGGTAGGATAAATCTCTCTAAATCTATCCAATGGCTATGAAGATTCTAAACTAACACGAGTCTCATATGTGTCTAGTTTAAGGGTATTACACATAAACACACCACAATAACATGAATCAAATATGTACTTTATTCATTTACAGTAAATGTCATAATGTACATCATGCTGATTGGAGCTAAGGGCATACACTGTCTAACATCTTCCTAATCACTGGATCTCTCCAAGACTCTACAATCTCTTTAGTAGCAGCCTCACACTACCAGCAACCTCCAAGAATCAGCCGATGACTTTCTTTCTGCTGAAACTTCCAAACCTACGAGGTTCTCATGTAGTCGGCCTTATTAGACTAGCATAAGAAGTCCTAGGTTGGCTTTGATACCAAGTAGTCGAATAGGACTACAATCTGTCCTAGGTTTAATGAGAAATTAACAAACAAATATTGAAAAAGAGAGGAGGATAAGGGAAGAGAGGAGGAGAAGAAGAACCCGGAGAAGGGAATTTAGAAAAGAGAGAGAGAGCTATCAACAACCGCCCCACTCAGTGTTTTAAAAGCGTAAGGCGCGAAAAAAGCGCAAGGGCCAATTTGAGCCTGAGGCGCAAGGTGCAAGGCACAAGGCAAGGTGCATGCCTTTTTAAGAAAGGTGCAAATTTACAAAAAAAAAGCTAAAAATAAAAAAGTCAGAAAATTCAAAATAAATGCCAAATTTTTTTAAAGAAAATGGAAAAAAAATCAAAAAATTATTAAACATAATGTTAATAAAAATATAAACTTAAATTTTAAAATAAATGATTTAAAAAACCTATTATCTAAAATTAAAATACATAAACATAACATGTAAATTGTATTCAAATGAAAATTTAAAAATAAAAGTAAACATATAAAGCATTTTCAAGCATGTAAAGTCCACAATCTCTCTTTTTTTCCTTAATTGCATTGCTTCAAGTAGCTAATGTGATGTAAAACATATTGCATTCTTGATTCTATGAGTCACCTTTGTACCACGCCCCTCGAGGCAAGCCCGAACAAGTCTATGTTAGGGCCTTTGTACCCCCTATTTGCTGATGTTGTTCATTTATTCATTGCAATAAAATATCTTCTTATAAGGCAATGAAAGTTGTAAAATCATTATTTTTTATATGAGAAATAAGAATTTCAAACCCTAACATAGACTTGTTCAGGCTTGCTTCAAGGGGCATGGTTGGGGGTCTGGAGGCGGAGCCCTCGGCCCATCCGTTAGACTAAAAAAAAAGCAAAAAGTGCAAAATTTTAAAAAGGCGCACACCTGGGCTGAGGTGCAAGGCGCATCAAGCATGTGCCTTTTGAAAGGGGTGCACCTAGGACCTGGGCGAGGCGCATACCCCAAAATGCGCCTCGCCTGTGTGCCTAGGCGCGGCTCAGGCGTGCCTTTTAAATCACTAGCCCCACTCTTACAATTTATATTAATATTCGAATGAAAGTAAAGGGCTGAATTACCCTTACTGCTTACATGGCAAAAAAAAAAAAAGAAAACTAATAACTATAACTGAAATAAACTACCAACTAACAAACTGAAAATAACTAACTGCTAACTACAGTCATATGAACACAATGGGAACCACATCAGTGTTCTCTACACTGTCCTAATAAAATTACTTTACTTTCTTCAAAAAAAAAGTGCATTTAGCAAGCATTTTTATGCATTGTATTCTAGCATGAGCACTTCATTCTATTTATCATAGGATGTCAAATAGGGACATATTCTTGATAAAGGAGGGGTGTTTAGATAGCCTCTTTACTTTCCTCTTCATTGTATTCTTCTTGTTTATCTTCCTTGTTACATGACAGACAAATAGAATTCCTTTTTCTCTTCTTTTTTTTTTGAAATTTACAAAGAAAGGCCCTTAATATATATATATATATATATATATTCGGTAAGCAACAGTAAATGGAGATTTTATTAATAATTCATGTAATTGGATGCCTTGTAAGTTGAGTCTTTGCTCTTTAATTTTGAATTCTGAAACCAGAATATCATGCTTATTTGTAAGATTAATAGCTTGTTAAATTTTTGTATGGAGGATGAATTCTATTTGTTATCTTTGCATGTTACACCCCCTCAATATGGGCTTCTATTCTTTTATTTATTTATTTATTTATATTATTATTATTTATTATTATTTTGCAGTCTGTGCAAGTACTTAATGGTGGCTTCAGGTAGAGCTTCTGTTTTCATTCTTCGAGCAAAGCCTCAAACTGTTATCAAGGTATGTAGCATTTCAAACTGGAGATGGAATGGCAAAGATTCAGGTAGGCCTCTTTGTTGACTTTAACTTGATATGCAATATAGGCTTGGGATCATGCTGTTGGGATGATATGTGTACATGAAGCTGGTGGACAGGTATGCTTTTTTCCAGTTTTATGGTATAATTTTTTGTAATTTTTTCGACTCTGCACATTGAGCAGACCGACATCAGTACTAAGTAAGCTTTACTTTTTCTACTTCTTTCAGTAATACATAAAACTAAAAGAATTAACTAAAAGCTTGACATACTCTCTAATTTACAATTGTATAAGAGCTTTTGTTATTTACATCCAGCTGCACTTTATGATCTTTTTATGACAACTTTTATTTGTTCAATATTTCATGGATTGGAAAGCTAACACTATGTAATTAGGTTACTGACTGGAAAGGGAGTCAACTTGATCTTGCGGCAGATCAAGTGGAGCGGAGGGCCATCTTTCCTTCGGGTGGTGTGCTTGTTACAAATGGTAACTTGCATAACCAGATACTGGAGGTGATCTCTTCCAGTTCATCAATTGTCTAATTACATTATCCTGAATATTCGATTTGGTATGTAATGATTTTTTTTTTCCTGACAGTTTTTTATGTTGTTCTTGAATTCTTGCAGTAACATGCTTCACATTGAGCCAAAAAATAATTTTAGTAAAAATGATATTCAAAGTCATCCATTACCATTTTCAGAACAGTTGACTATGCTATCATTACCAGTTTAACTTGAACTTCTCTTGCCACTGGTATGGTTAAGCCTGCTACACTATATAATTCAACCTCAATGAATTATGAAAGTGTAATACAAGTTCATCCGTTAGCATCAGGGTGGGAGAGGCAAGCCAGGTCCTGTGAACCTCGAGCTTCTGGAGAAACTTCATTTGCCTATTTGTTAGATGGCAGTTTATTCTAGGGGAACAAAGACAAAATGTTTTATATGAGGAATTTATGCTTATGCTGGTTACAGGAAATCTTAATGACCATTGCCATTATTGGTGATTCCAATAACATCCTCAGCTGGAGTCTGGATGAAATAGAATAACTAGGGTGAAATTGAGATGATGAAATCTATTGTCATCTTTCTATTCAAGCTTTGAGGTGGAAGATGATTCTTATCATATGGATCTTTTAATTGCATGTTTCATGTTTGGATGGACATTAGGGACCTCTAGCATGTTAGGACATGTCTTAAATTTGGTTTGGAGTTCTCAAGTGTGTAGAAATCTCAGAGAACTGCAAAAGATTAGAGTTTCTAAAGTTGTCTTTCTTATTGAGGATCCAGTATGGATAATTTAAGTATTAATTTATATTGTCAATTCACCATTTTCATTGTCAGGATTTCCTTTCAGGCACTTCAGGTTAAGTTTATAGATGTTCCAATCTTGGACCAAGTTTTAACTTGATATACTTAAGAAATTTGATCACATATTGCAATCAAATAATACAATCTTGATATTTTTCTACTTCGAAACATTCTTTCCTATGATATGAATATGGTTTTTGAACCACCATTAACCCGGATGGTCCGACCGTTCGGCCCAGGAACCGTTCAGGCAACCGGTTCTGTTTTACCCCAAACCCTGTCTCTGACCAAAAACCATTGAACCAGTCAATGACCCGTTGACCTGGGCGGTCAAACTGTCGACCTGTTCAATGGTTTTGGCCATTTTTTAATTAATTTTTTATTTTTCTTTTAATTTCTTTGTCAGAATGGGCCGTCTGCTTGAATCAGACGATCGAACCATCAACCCGGAAGCCGGTGGCCAGAATGGTTCCGTTTCCGGGTCATTTTTTAAAACCATGGATATGAATTTTCTTTTCAACGAAACAAACTTACGTTTGAAATTTCAAGTCTCTCATCTTGCCAAATTCTACGGGTTAGAGATTCCACATCATATGCCAGCTAACCGATTAACCCCAAATCTAGAAACAACTTTTTAATAGGGTAAAAGACTTACATACCCTGAGTTTTCATAAATTATCTTAAGCATACCCCAACCCAGGTGCAGGCGGGATTCGATCCTTAGTCTCTGCTACAACCAGCATGAGACCTTACCAACCCGCTGGTTGGCACTTTGCACCCCCTAGTTGTGAATGCTCCCAACAGCCAAAGTTTTTCTAACCGTTTGGCACCTTACACCCCCTGGTTGGCACCTTGCACCTCCTAGTTGGCAATGCTCCCAACTGCCAAAGTTTTTATAACCGTTTGGCACCTTGCACCCCTATGACCAGGAGGAATGCTCGCATTGTTTGGCCAAAAAGTCAAGAACAAAACATAAGCATCAATGGTCAAATGAAGTCGTAAGCTATATCTAGGCTTTTAGTTCACCTGGTTGGGGAATTCGGTTCTGTTGGAATCTAGGTCTCTCTGAAAATTTGAAGAATGATCAAGGGTAAAAAAGTATTTCTGTTAAATTCTATTTAAGTTTATTTGAAAAACTCAAGATATGCTTAAGTCAGTCTATAAAAACTAAAGGTATATTTAAGTCTTTTAATATGTGATTTATCATTTATCCTTTCTGTCATCATTGGCTTTGGGAGAACTCAGTTTCGGTTACTTAACTAGTTTTGATGTGTTTAATGGAAATGGAAAACTAAAAGGGACCTTGAAGCCACTTTGTTCTTGGTAAGTGATCAGTTTTTCCTTAATGATCTCTGTCGTAATGTGGAAAGGGCTTCAATTTTCAAGGAGATGCCCGTTTCTTCATTGTTAAGGAAGTGGAACTAGGGTGGTTAGTAAAAGATCTCTTTAATGTGTATAAACAAACCATATACATTGGCGAATACCCTTAAGTTGGTTTACGATCCAAAGTCGACAAAATGTCGTCTATAACAGGAACACTATAATTTTAAAGTTCCTTTCCCTGCAGACTGTGATGTGCTTCTTTGATTAAATCCTGTCTGCATCTGGGTTAGGATTGAATCCTGCCTGCATCTGGGTTAGGAGGGTTATGGGTTAGCCTCAATTTTATATCACTTCAAAAGATATCAAAAAAGAAAGAAAAAATGAGCATGCCCAAATTATTCTTTAACTCAGCCTACTTCAAACTCGTTTTGGGCTTTATCTAACCCCATCAGGCAGCAGCTCTTTTAACTACTTTTGGCTGAATTGACACGGCGGTTATTTAATGTATTTTTGAAGGTTAAAGCTAACAACTTATACTAGCACCAGGTTTGTTTTCTGGCCAACTAACTATAGTATTCCGCTTTGACAAGCCTCAGATGCCTCTTTGGCCCTTACCCTTTCCTCATTCATCAGGTGTACTTGTGTGGCTCAGGGGTTTCCATCCATTCATGATTCATCCCTTTACCCACCACCCATCCATTCCCATGTCATTGTAATTACACAAGAATTATTCATAACATTATAACATACACCTGATCACACTTCCATAACATTTGACGGCAAGCTCTTGTGTTAACCCATTCTGATAAAGCTAGGTAGGAAATCGACCACGTGTTCCAATGGCCGTGCGTAGGCGTAGGTGGAGACAGTTTCATTTAAAGTGCTGGTATTTTAGGAAGGTTCTGAGCCAACCCCAATTAATATAATACTGAAAAATGAATTCGTGTTCCTCAATTGAGTATTGTTTCTTGGATTCCTTTGCATGACTACGTAGTTTAAATAAATATGTAGTATCGGCCACACATGCTTAGATCCCGTATCCATAGATAACATATAAATAATGTGGACTCTTGCATAAAGATATACCCAATTGAATATTCAACGTTGGTTGGAGTTTGAAGGATACCTCACAACCAACATTAACAATATTTAGTTAATCTACCAAATTTACATATTTCTTGGGGGTCAACTTGAAGACGTAGGTAGCTTCTTAGCCTTCTTTGAGTAAGCCGTGCACAAGTAAACCCTAGGTTTTAGGAAGGAAATACTTACCAGAGCAGGTATTAGATGTAAACCTTTCTTTTGAGTATTAGACCATACTTTGAATTCCCCAAGGCTTAGTTTGGAAGGAGTATAAATACAAATATGTACAATATAAATATATACAAAATAATATAAAATACAGGGTTTTGTACTCTATATATTTGTATTTATACTCTTTCCAAATGGAGCCCAAGGAACAAATGCAGTGTCTTCATGATAGCAAAGAAAGCAACATAAGCCCATAGTACTAAGGATAAAAATATCAATATGAGGCATATGGCATCTGTATCCATAGGCCATGAAACGCATGGATACCCTCAAGTAGCTATCAGTGTATCCATGCATTTTGGGGTCCAGCAATACGAACACAATACAAGGTGTATGACCTGTTCATGGGCCAGGCTCGGACTTAACTTTTGTCAAAATTTGAATAAACTTGACCTATTGTCTGAGCCCAAAACAATGTAAAGCCAAGCCTGAAACCCAAGCCATGAACAGGTCTAGGCGTATCATATAGATATTTTGATCCTTGCTTGAGGGTAACGGGTTTGATCATTGCATATTTGTATATTAAGCCCAGTTTGGATGGAATACAAATACAAATATATAGAGTACAAAACCTTATATTTTATAAGTATTTGCACTCAATATATTTGTATTTATACTCCTTCCAAACTGAGCCTTAGTAGAAGTAATACTGTATTTACTAGCTTAGAGTATATGGTTCATAAGACGAATGTTTAATTTATTGTCATGGTCTCCCTTGTAAGAAATGTTTTTACTTCTCAAGGGTTCTCTCAATGTTAACAGGAAAATGGAAGCAAGCAAAATAGAAAGGTGGGCCGTGGGCCAAATCTTAGTAGATGAGTAAAATAATATTTGACCAGTCTGTTGTTGTTAGATAAAGGTGGATGAGACAAATGCATGATTTTCAAATGTCTCAGCTGGGTTTTCCATTGCTTCTCTTTTCTTTATGTCAAGGGGAATGGATTGATTGCATGCTTGTCATGTAAACCTAAACATCATAAAGTTGTAATAAGGGAGAGACGCACGTCAAGAGATGAGAGGGCTTCAGTGGGCAAATCGATCATTGTCTTGACTCTTGACGCTTGAAATATGAGTATGTGACGTGTCGGATTTTATCTACTTTGGGTGGACCCCATCCGTGGAGCTAGCGCTTTGCTTTCTGACACGTAGTAGCGGAAATTCCAAATCATCACTTTGGGTACAACTTAAAAGACGAGATACTCAGATACAAAACAAAGTGCCCTCGTCATGACCGCACTGAGGTGTCCTCACTTGAATCGCCATGTCTCCCCATTTTTAAGAAGATCTAGACCCAATGCCACCATTAGATAGGTCCAAAAAAATTAGCGACCAACAAAAATGGAGTAGATCAGATAATTAGTTTCGTCCATTCAATTGATGAATTAATTATAAAATTCTATATTGGTTGGCTTAATTATCCATGCCACCATCAGATACAGTGCAAATATAACTGATAATTTATTGCACTGATATAGCCTAAATATTTTCTCGTGTGGGAGGGCCACGATCCATATTCGTTTGGACATGTGCCAAAATTCGCTCGAAGGGCACCCATTGACCCTTGTTGCTGTAGTAGGTGGTTGCTAAACTGATAAGGGCACAGTTACATTAATGATTATTACATCACATATATACTAATTATATATAAGGGAGAGAATAAGAGAAGCTAATTTGAGGGAGAGTTTTTAAGAGGTATTGGGGTACGGTACAGGTCTTTTGTGCACTGATTAGGTGGGACCAACTTTAAGTGGGCCTCACTCACCATGGGATCAGGACCCAACATGGACGAGCTAGAGGTCCTCTGTTCTAACAACAGGGCTTGTGGGGTCGGAGGGGGCACCCATATTTTCCCATTTGATCGTATATAAGTAGACTTGGCAATAAGTTGACCCAATCTGTGAATCCGCCCCAATTCAACCTGAAAAAATAGAGTTAGGGTATCATATTTAGCTACTTGAATGTGAGAATGATCTAATCCGAATTGATTTAAAAAATACTGGGTTGGGTTGGGTCATGGGTCACCCTGCTGATCCGATTGTAAACTGTAATTGGAACTATTTATGCATTGTTAGAAATTTTTACTCTTTAATTTTTTTTTTCTATTTATTCTTTACTCTTTATTGTTTACACTTTAAATTGTTAAATGTTCAAGCTTTTTTATTTTATATTTGAAATTTTAAGATTAATTCCTTTAATTTTAGCATTTTTCATGTAGTTTTTTTTTTTTTAATTTCAGTTATTTTTTGGGATGACTCGAATTGACCCATGGGTCAATCCTAACCTGAACATTTAGGATTAGGGTCTAGCATTTGATAACCCAACCCGAAATCAATCCGAAGTGTGTTAACCCAACCCAAACCTGATCCACCCAACCCAATTGCCAGGTCTATAAGATTTCCATCTTGACCGAGAGTGAAAATGAGAAAACTTCAAATTAAAAGACAATGCCTTCCCTTGACAGATTGTCTATCAAAATTAATTCAAAAGGCAGTGTCTGTCGTTCTGCTTTGTGATTTGGTGGAGGTGCAGAAAGACAACGTAAAGGATGAGGCTGAAAAAGACTAAAAAGCAAATCCTCAATTATTAAGAGACGCAGAAAGAACAATGTCAAGATGATCTTCAGCTAAAGAATAGAATCTCTCTCTAACTCGTCAATGCCTTGAAGAAGAAACGCAAAAATGAAAGAAATTTTTATTGAGTTCTCTAGAAGCTTTTATTTGACACCAAGAGAAGGTTGGTGGCCACAGAAGAAGATGCAAAAGGGTAACGTAAAGAGGGGAACAAAAAGAAAAAAGACATCAGGACACAGGAAGGTCTACGTATTAATAGATCATTATTTCATTAGATTAGGTTAGACTTGAGAGAAAGTTGTCAACTCAAGGAGTATCTTATTTACCCATCGATTCTTATAATTTCAATTGGAAAATTTCCCTCTTAAGAAATCCAAATCCTCCCTATCGATCATCACTAATCCAGAAAGCATATCGGTGAAATTGTTTCACTATGGGCGGACAACAGATTTTCTCCGCACCGCCACCATTTACATCTCACTCTGAAAACTAGTTCAACTTTCCATCTCCACAGTCAGTCAAATTTCTAACTACCGTTGATTTTTTCTTCACCAGGAAAAGGGGAAAAGCTCCTCAAAAAGGAAATAAAGAAAATGGAAGCCCGTCCAACTGGAGAAAATATATGTTTGTCGTCCCACAACCACATTTTCTCCGGTTACTCTCCAACGGTTCACGGTCTCACCCAGACCCAGATGCCTAATTTTTCGGCCTTGGCATCGCCAGTCGTCAGATGGGACCACCACCACCTTGCAGAAGCTAAAGCCAAACAAATGGTACCAATTCTTGGGCCCTAACCACTTCATCATGTAATCTTTTCGTTTTCCTTTTCTCCTTTTTTTTTTTTTTCGTTTTCTTTTCTGATTGCCTTTTCCTAATTTATCAAGTTCTATTACATGATAAATTGGTTATGAAGATAAAATGGGCCCTAGTTTGAATTTATAAATTTGGTATGACAAATGCCCACTTTTAGTCGTACAATCCTTTGACTTTTTAACCCGATTCAGAGAAGGAAACAAACTTCCTTTACCAAAGTCATAACTGGTAAGAATATCAACTAATACATTGGTTAACCTAGAGGAGGAGTCACCTAGGGAAATTGTCTAAAATTCATCATGAGTTTTTAATATTTTTCTTAAATTCATTATAAAATTTTAAAATATTTAATATTTTTTATTTTTCAAAATTCACCTTCTGTTAGTGTATCGTTAATGTTTCTTAACAGAGGTATTCATGTCAGCATAAATAATAAATTTCATCATTCAATTATCCTGGAATGGCGAGTTAGAGAAAAAATGGTCTTTTTTAGTTTCAATTTTCTTGTTTTTTTTTTTTGCATTTTTAGTGTTTTGTTATAATTTCCAATGTTTTTTATAATTTCTGTTTTTTACATTTTTCTATTTTCTACAATCTATAAATTTTCCTGTATTTTTGTTATTTATTTACAACTTCTGTTTTCTTCTATAATTTTTTTATGCCAACTTCTATAACTTTTTATATTTTTTGTTTTTATATATTTTATATTTGAAAATATTTTTTTTGAACTTTTTTCTTTTTTTATTTCTAAATATTAAAATGATAATATATTAACACCCATTAATTTATTTTATATATATATTTTATATTTTTATATGAAAGTTAAAATAATAATATATTCACACCTGTTAGTCTGTTTAATGTCAAATTAATGACATGGTGAATTGTAGACATTTTGAAAAATTACAGTGAATTAATTTATTTAATTTTTGGGCAGGAGGCCAGGAGCTGGCTAGCTTAATTAGGCAATGGAAATCCCCCTAATTAATGCTTCAATTCAACTTAAACCTGTCATTAGCATGTCTATATATTTATTAAGCAGTATATAGCAGAAGAATATCTCATCAGCCACCTTAACACTTTTTCATATCCATTTCATGCTCCTACTTTTGGAAAACACCTAACTATTGTCCACCCAAAAACTATTAAATTATGGGAACCCATAATTAATGCTCATACTCAGTTCACGTAACATGACATTAATAGATAATTAATCTATACAGATTAACAAGAAGATATACGCATGAGAAGTAAGCCGACTGAGACTGACTGGTGTAAAGCTGGATTCGGCTTGAACTCAGAGCTTGCATGAACATGAATGCATGCAGCAGATCAGAAGCCGCGAAGTTGATCACTAGACTAGACGATGTAGTCTTCGAAACCGTCGCTTGGGGTACGTGGCCAAATCATGGTGGTGACAGCTAATGTGAATCCAGAAAGTGAGGAGAGACATCTGAAGGAAAACGATTTCTAGTTTTGGCCTTTTGGGGGTTAAAAACAGATTGAAGATTGATTTCACATTTAAGAGACACGTCGCGTAGAGGCCGGCACCGAATCCCTTTGACTTCTCTTCTTTCTTACTCTCGCCAACTATTTATACACACACACTTGCTATACGACCCACATCTGCACTTTTGTTACAGAGTTCATCTTCTCTCTTTCTCTCCTTTCCCACCACCGATATATCTTCTTCTCTTTTTCATCTTCTCCTCTCTCTCTCTCCAACAAGTGCAAATTAAGTACAGTTGACTGCAGAAAGGTATCTAAAGATCTGCTTCTGGTGGTAACATGGGTAGAGCACCTTGCTGTGAGAAAAATGGATTGAAGAAAGGGCCATGGACGCCCGAGGAAGATAAGAAGCTGATCGATTATATCCAGAAACATGGGCACGGAAGCTGGCGAACCCTTCCCAAGAATGCCGGTATACAAATTAATTTGGTCTAAACGTTTCCTCTTCTGCTAGTACTAGATGTTGTGTCTCTTTCTTCGCATCGATCGGTTTTCATGGTTGAAATATATATATATATATTTGAACCAGAACCAAAAGAACTAAGAGTCTTTTCTTCCCTTGTTTTGCCTCAACTTATAGGACTTCATAGGTGCGGAAAGAGTTGCCGCCTTCGATGGAACAACTATCTCAGACCTGATATCAAGAGAGGCAGATTTTCATTCGAAGAGGAAGAGACTATAATCCAACTACACAGTATTCTGGGGAACAAGTAAGACTTTTTCTTTTCTTCTATCTATATTAATTATATATAGATTCTATATATTCTTAGCTTTGAATGTCTAATACCGTTTTCTATAAACTATTTTTCCCCTGTATACTACTCACTTCAAGAACTTCTACTCTTTCATTACTTATAATCTAGACCATTGAGCATGTAAACTTGTAAAGCTAAATTTTCAGTTTTCAACTTTTTATCTTTCTAATTTCCTTCTACTTTGCTAATCCAGGTGGTCTGCCATTGCTGCTCGGTTGCCTGGAAGAACTGACAATGAAATCAAGAACTACTGGAACACACGTATTAGAAAAAGGCTCCTCCGAATGGGAATTGATCCCGTAACTCATAGTCCCCGCCTTGATCTTCTCGACCTCTCCTCGATTCTCAACTCACCTCTTTACAACCCATCGCAGTTGGATCTTTCAAGACTTCTCGGCATCCAGCCTCTCGTTAACCCTGAGCTCCTAAGGCTAGCCACTACTCTCTTATCTTCCCAAAACGAAAACCGGCCAGAATTTCTCCTGCAAAATCTTCATGAGAACCAACTCTGCAATCCCCAACTCCCAAATGATCAGTTTGCCTCTTTCCCTCCTAACCAGCTCCCAACAAACCCAATTCAAGAAATCCCAGTTTGTACCACATCTACTACTCCCTGGGCTCCATTTCTAGATGAAACCCAACTCCTGCAAACCAATGTAGAGAAATTTCCATCAAATCCCACAAGCTTCAGCTGCCCAACTTCCCAAACCAATCTGTGGCAACACAATGAAATGCCTTGTAATTTTCAGGAAAGTTTTGTTTCTTTACCAAATTTCAGCTATGTTGGTTCTGATCATCCTACTGCCGATCACACTCTACTGAATAACTCAATTTTCCAATCCAACAACAACAGCAGCAGCAGCAGCAGCCATGATTTTGGCTTCACTTCAGTTCTATCAACGCCTTCATCGAGCACAGCGCCCTTGAATTCGTCGTCGACGAATATCAACAGTAGCACTGAAGATGAGAGAGATAGCTACTGCAGTAACGTGTTGAAGTTCGAAATCCCTGATCTCTTGGATGTCAATGAATTCATGTAATCTACAAAAGCTACTGCCTCGGAGAAGAGAGCTTGAAATTTGATAACCCCACTGCTCAAGAATCTTTTTCTTGTCTTTTAAATTGTTTCTGTGTATGACTGGTGTTGATTCTGTAAAATCTATACGAATTTGTTGTAATTTTTATTAAGGTTACAGTATCAGGAAACAGGAGCTCCTTGTTTTGATGGGAAGTTGCATTATTGATCATGTTCCGAGTCTTTTTTGTTAGTATATCTTAACAAATAATTATCAACTAAACAACAAAAAAAAAAAAAATCTGCGGAAGTAAAATCGATAAACAAGACATGAATGATCAACTAAGAGACCTTCCCTTTTAAGCATCCAACGTATAAATAAAAAAAAAATGAATTGTTTATCAGAAAATAAAAAGAAATATATCACGTTACTAACCCAAGTCTTCTGCCGTCGTAGTCACAAGATGTATAACATTTTCATAATTAAAAGTTCTTTTCTTTTTCAGAAATGTTTTCATTTTTTTTATATGTTGGGTAATGGGTAGTTTTCCATCGGGTCGGAAGATCCGAATGAGGAGGGGCCAGGAGAAAGTGAGCTTAAAAGCTTCTATACAAGAACTAATCACTTTCTAGAGCACTAAATTCACTCGGTGACGTCTCCGGTACTCGGATCTACCCGTTAGGCGATAATTTTGGTTAAAAATACTTGTTTTATTAAAAATAAAGTCTATTAATAATTAATACATCATGCATAATTATAGACGTCAAGACCTGATTATCCCAATTAAGAGAGGCCGACGCATGTCTCGTCACCTGTGAGATTCTTTTCCGTTTGACGAGTTAATAAAATAAGAGAAAGGGTAATAAACAACGAATTAATTTATGCCAAGGCAAACTTAGCCGTGCACAAAAATACAATGGCAGATTCGTAGTTTTGTGTTGCCTCCTCTTACCGTAGTAGATTCCGGATTTTGTCCTCAAAAATTTGGTCCTGAGTCCTGACACAACAACAGCCCAGGCCCAGCCCGATATCCAAAAGTTGAGCAGTCTTATCTCAGCGTTGTTTAATTAAGGGGGTTTTGAGTCTTTTGACGAAGGGATGGACGTACGTGTCGATCAAGAAGCTGCTTTGTCTCCGTCCACCATAAACGCTTATGCTGCATCGTGGAATGCCTTATCTGATGCCACGTGGCTCTGTTATTGCCAGTTCCATCCCCTACACTGTGGATGAACGAACCCGCTGATCGGATGTCTTTCTTTCTTTCTTTCTTAAATCTTAAATTCTCAATTACATTGAACTTGCAACTTTATAAAAGTTGTAAATGATGTTAAACCTCATCTAAAACTTTTATGGTTCGATCGATAAATTTTTACATCGAAGAAGTTTTGCACGGCTTCCAAACTTTAATGGAATGTTAACTGTTACGCTGTTCGCAACACATCTATGATACACAGACAGTGAAAGGGATTGCGATTTGCCAAATGCCGAATAGGCGGCTCCAAGTGTTTCCATCTAATCACTCGTTCATATTATGATGGTGTTTGGTAATGCTATGGCTTCCGTTTGAGGTTTAGGAGGATGAAAAACGTTTTGAATACTATTTTTGCTATTTTGTAGTGTTTCTTCCAACATATGCCACCTATGCTTAAAAGCGCAGTTTCCTCCAATCATGCTGTTTGGCAGCATTTTTTGTTAGTTGCACTTGAAAAGCATGTAAATAAGTGTGAATGTAAATATGTAGAGTGTAAAATGATTCATATAAATTGTAAAGTTGGGTTAGTTTTGCACTCACAAATTTACCTTTTTATCAAACAGACTTTTAGCTATAATAGATGTTTATGAGGGGTAATTTGGTCTTCTAAATCGTCTCGCGACACGTGACCTTCAAGTAATGCCTCAGTGCTGAGTAAGCGAACTAGCTCGGCAAGTTAGCCTGAAGGACCTTGCCCAGGCCGACCTCCACTTCGGCCGGGCCGAACTCATAGGTTCCCTACCTTGCGGTGACCTATCTCATAGACCTGCCGAGCTGTAGGAATCCATGGCAACTTGCGAGGAGAGCCCGCTGATTTGTCCCGATAACGTGTTACTAGCCCGAGATCTCCGAAACGTTAATGCTTCGATCGTTAGATCGGCTTACCGCACCGCACGCCTCAAAGTTATTCGAGCAGATCGTAACCTCCACGCAGTTACATATTAATGCGGCCGACTAAGCGGAAATGGTTCCACGAGAAGATGAGACCTGTTGTAAGAGGGCTCTGACCACCGATATCTATATAAGACACTCATTTCTACCTATAAAGGTACGCGCGTTTACAAGCTCTCAAGCTCTCTCTCACTTTCTAAAATATTCTCAAAACACTCTCTGACTTAAGCATCGGAGTGCCCTCCCTGGGTAAAAGACACCTGGGCACTCTAATTCTTCCTCTTGTAGAACTAAAACTAGCTTGGTCATCTTCAGCTCGGCCCAACAAGGAAATATCCAAATTAGAGTCCGAGTCACCTTACATGTAAGAGGAGCCAGATCGCGCGACATCATATGCAAACACGAATTCCAATAAAGCATATGACTTTTTTTATCAAAAGTCCACTTGAATGCAAATTTACTTCTTTTTTATTGATGTACTTTTGCATCTTATTATCAATGTAAATATGCATTGAAAAATGTGTTTTCTGTCATTTATCAATGCATAAATGTAATGTTGCCAAACACACATCGTTTTCAAATGCAGCCTAATGTTTTTTAGTTGTTGAAAAGTGAATTCTGTGTGACAGAGTGGATAGCCCATACATTCCACACACCTTAGTCCCAATTTTAAAGGGCCTGAAATTGTTAGCAGATGATCCAGACTCTTCAAGAATTAGATCTCCTGCCAAACAAATTATATTCCAATCCTCTACCAACATCATATAATACCATGAGACTAGGACCTAAGGTGAGGTAAGGTCACAACAATACAATGCATGAAGGCTCTGAAATGGGAGGTAGCACTGGCAACTCCCATAGTCCAATGTAACTGGGGAAAAGGGGGTTCGGATGAGGTAGGCATGAAGTTGTAAGCACGTTCAATGAGCACTTGAAAATTTTTTTGACAGCTGTCGCTTAAAATACCCTCACCCCACCCTTGAAAAAGATTAATACCCATTTTTGACAGTTATCTAAATATTTATCATGTACTCATTTAATGTGCTTACTTTGATGTGCCTACTAAATCTGGTCCCGGGAAAAAGAATATATGAAATGGGATGGGATTATAACTAAAAACATTGTTTATGTTGTATTGTTTCAGTTGCAACTTTGCAAGTATTTAAGTCCTTGAGCTGAGATAGTGGACGTGTATCAACTGATGCCATTAATTTGAGCGCTCTTTATTACTTATTAGAGGTGTCAATGAACTGGGTTTGGGTTGGAGTTCGAAGGGTTGGAAGCATATTATTGAATAGGAACAGTTTATACTTAATGGTGCAAAGTATATATTGGATTGGATTGTATTGGATCTGGTTTTTTATAATGGATATATTTATACTGAACTGGGTTCGATTGAACCAATATTCAGTCAATTTACAAAAAATAAGAATATAGGTGTCAATCGACCAGGTTTGAGTTGGATCCAATCTATATTAACACTAATTTGAACAAAATGGACGGTTCATACATTGAATTGGACAGTCTAAAATTAATGATCCAAAGTATTCATTGCTGGATTGGGTTGGACCTGATAGCTCTTTACTTTTGACTAGCTTCCTGTTGCAAATCATATTTTTAACTTCTTTAGAATTAAAACTCAATTTTAGAATTAAGGTTTGATAACATATAAATTAAATTTTGTTTATATGAATAAAAAAATTTTAAAGCATCTAATCTAATAGTATCCTAGAAACTTTATTATATTGTAAATTTATAGCATTATATAACAATTTTTCAAGTTTAGTATCTTCAGCTAATAAAAATGGTTGTTCAGCATGTACAATGTATTTTGCTAATTCTTGCCTCATTATTTCTTGAGAATATTTAAATGTACCAAAAACCTCCTGCCCAATTTGTGTTTGTGTTGTTTCTCTCCCTTCTTCTTCTTTATCATGGTTGAGCAAATATCCGCCCAAATGGCCAGTGCCACTCTTGCTACAATAGATAAAGTCTTTCCTACATTTTTGGCAAACAACTCTTTTTACCTTCCCCTTAACCTCTTCTACTTTAAATATTTTCTAAACTGGGCTAACCAACTTAGTGGCTTTTTTTTTTTTTCTTTCCCCTAGTATTAGTACTAAGGATGGAAGTTCTATCAATATCAATAGCATCCATATCGGTGCTAACACTATCATGATACGCTTGAATATCGTCAACACTGAACATGTTGGGGAATCGGTTTTGGGAGGAGCCAGTCATTTTTTTTTAATTCTAAAAAAATAAAAAATTAATTTAATTGGACTTACTCGGATTGCTAGTTCAGAATCCCAACTTGATTTCAACGTTTGAAGCCTTTCAACTCCAAGAGTCCAAGCCTACCAAATTGCTAAGTGCTAATTAACTTGAGATACTTGAGCTAGTTGAGTAAAGCAATCATTCTTCTTGTTGAAACTTCAATAAAGTTGAGAACACTCAATTAGAGTTTAGATCACTTTAGACTTCAGAGAATGCATGAGAGAAGAGATTAAGAGAATTGTTGAAATGGTGTGACGAGAATGGTGGATGATAAGGCTATTTATAGGAATTGAAAATAATTCAATTGCCTCAAATACCCTAAAAATTAGCAATTTTTTAGTTGTTAGGAGGGGTGTTTTGGTCATTGTAAAGTTATTTATCACTTTATTCAAAATGCCCTCCTAAACTAGTTGTTATATAGCTGTTAGGGGGGCATTTATGTCATTTTTTCTCCCCCCATAACCAAAATACATAAATACCCCCCCTCTATATAGTTGTTTGTAGCTTTTGGGGGGTATTTCTATAAACCCCCCCCCCCTAAAAAAAGCTGAAACTAGTCGTTGGTGGGGTGGGGTTCCCAATGGCTAGTTTTTGGGTAGGCCGTGCTATAGGCCCGCAGGCCGCGGGCGGCAAAGCATGCACAGTCGTTTCATGCCGTCCCGTCCCATGGACTCTAAACCCCGGACCTAACACGACCCACATGATCATACCGGGTCTGACACGATCTGCATGCCATCATACCACACCGTATCGGACCGGTCCAAAGTCAGGCCGGGCTGTGCCAGGCCA